GACATTTTAAAGGAAACTGAGCTTAGAATAGAACAGAATAGAATAGTCTTTATTGCCATTGTAACAGTGAAGACTATTCTATTCTATTTTCCTCATACACTACATTTAGTTTTAATTTGTAATCATTCATTATTTTTCAGTAAGTGTAGTGATTTAAGAGCTGTTAGATTGTGTGGTTCTAGAGCTATTTATTTCAGCAAGCCTTTGACAGTGAGAGCCTACAGGCCTTAAACTACTGAACAACACAAAGGTTTTGATGGAGCAAACCAAATTCAAATTAACCTCCAAGAACCTCATCTGAAGATGAATAATCTGTATTCCACCAAAGCTAACTGTTTCAGCAGCTGCTTCAGAAGCCCACAGGAGCTGGGAGAGAATAGCGCCTCTGAGGACAGTATTTGGAATAGCCTGCACAGTCTTTGTGGCTTGGGGTTAACCCAATTTTTTTTTTTTACTACGGATAACATCAGGAGAAAAACTCATAAAATAATCCATAAATTCTTGAAAACAATTTTGTGTCACTGAACCTTGGGACAGGCAGTTCTAACAATAACTTCATTTTTAAAGGTTGATATTTTCATACAGGGCTACATAGTGGAAATGTGGTTAGTACTCATGCCTTACAACAAAAACGTTAGTGGCTTGATCCCAAATGGTTTACTTAACCCATAATTCCAAAAGAATGATGGTAATGGATGAATGTTAGTGTGAATGGGTTTGTGGCCCTGAAGAGATGGATGTGTGAATGAATGAATCTTTGAAGGTCAACATTTAAAATTCAAATTCTGCAAAATCTTTTTTTTTTAAGTCCTTACGATTACCTTGGCCACATGAACTGTGACTGTGTGTATAAATATTTTAAAGCCATAGTAAAGTGGAGCCTTAAACTCTAACAGCCACATTCTTCAGTCATGTGCTGAGGGAGCAGGTGGTGGAAGATGTGAGTCCTCCAAACGTATTAAGTCTATATATCTGTTGTGACTTGCAGATCACAGTCTGTCCAGTTCAATTATGTTGGCCAAAGGCAACAGTTAAAAGAAAAAAAAGAAAAAGGGAAAATTGTTCCTGCATCGATGACATAAAGAGAAACCTCCGTTCTGTCCATTGTATCGAGGAAAACAACAAAGTGATGCAGCGTTTCCTGCAGGGGACTGGAGACGTTCTCACCACTGTCTCCTGTATCGTAACAAAGCTACGACTGAATACTATGTCCTCTAGTTGTAACTAAAGCTGCTTCTTTGGCAGCAACATCACTCTACATCCATACCCTCACCCATTAACTTCCACATTTCCCCCTGACTGTGAGAAAACAGTAAGCTAGCCAGTGTTTGTTTTACTCTGCTGCTGTGTTTCCACACTCAGTCTCTTTTAAAGAAATGCATCATGGGTTCTTTTTGTGAATCACCCAGCAACAGACACATCATTTTGTCTCCATCTTTTCAATCGCAAGCGGAAACGTCCTGCCTAAGCTCTTCTGGACAAACTGCCAGTGTAGGACCTGACCAAGTTATCAATGAAGAGGCCGACACAACCACCGACCTGATCTGCTGACATCAATCCTCAGGACTAAAAGACAAATGGAAAAGTAAAAGCAATCAGCCTCCTGCTCTGTCTCTGTCTCCAGTCTTTATCCTCTCTTGTTTTGTCTCACGTTCACCAACACAAACATAAACTGTCTTTAGCTCTGGGGTTAGAAAAAAAAAACCTCAAAACCCAGAGACACAGCCAATACTACAGTGTTTTAACAGAGTACTTGGTGATTTGCATGAACATGAACTTCTTAAGTATTTATGTTCTACATGAGATGGTTGTATTGATGATCATCATTGTCCTAATATTGAAGTTTAAGGCTATGTCAAAAACTAATTTTGTCATTTAGAAAGTCTTACATTATATTTAGTAGTTTTGACACATGTTATCATTGAATCTATATCTGAAATTAGAGCAAACTTTTCCATTTCTAAGTGAACTTTGGTGAGTTCTTCATGTTTAGAGTCTGATTTAAAACTTACATTCCAAAAAAGGCTCCAGTGGAGACGTGTTTAGACTTTAGTGGTTGTTCTATGGGTATATTCAAATATATATACAGTATATGTACATACACTACTATTTAACTGGCGGAGTGAATGCTGGCTCGACGTGCTGCCGCTGCTCGCCTGTAACTTTTAGCTTTCAGTTTTTAGTTTAGGTTTTTTTTTTCTAGCAGTTTACTGATCACCGATCACTGATCATTTACTGTCACCGCTCCTGTGTCCATTTCAACCGAGTCCCCGCCGAGTTGTCATCACAGTATTAACTGGCAGGATGCACATCGGGTACGTGCTTCTCAGGACTTTACTGTCATTTCCTTCACCAACTTCCGATGGGCCTACTCCAATACTCCACTGCTGGGCTTCTCCGGCTTCGTCCCCATCCATCTGCACCCCCTCCCAGATGTGAAAACACCACCGTCAACGTTGGTCTGCTCAACATCCGCTCACTCACAAGCAAAGGACATCTCACCAACTATCATCCTCCTCCATTCATCTGACTGTCCTCTCCGCCCGTCTCACCATCATGGGGTACAGAGCTTTCAGTTGCTCTGCTCGCCAGCTTTGGAACTCTCTACCCCTCATCTTGAGGAACATCAATTCACTCCCACAATTCAAATCTGCAATTAAAACTCATCTGTTTAAAATTGCCTTCTCTGTCTGATATTCTACTGTTGTATTTTAACTTGTTCTTAATGTTTTATAGTTTTTAATGCTGTGTTGTTATCTTTGTATTCACTATAAGGTGTCCTTGACAGAAAGGCGCCTATGAAATAAAATGTATTATTATTATTATTATTATTATTATTATTATTATTATTATTATTATTATTATTATTATTATTATTATTATTATTATTATTATTATTATTATTATTATTATTATTATTATTATTATTATTATTATTATTATTATTATAAATGGTCTTCTTCCATTTCTCTTCCATTTCTGGATTGACAACAGTTGTTAAAGACAAAGTTGGCCAATCACAGTACTTTGTTTATTCAAAATGTTTTGAACAAGTAAAAGACTAGGATGCTAATAAAACAAGCAGCTTCTAACGTCATAGGTTGTTTCTGTCTACATTTTGTTTATTCCCTGCATAACAGAATCACAGTAACCTTTGAAAACCTGTGTATGCACCAAATCAGGCGTTAACACACAGTGTCTGTCATGGTCACGGTGTGTAGCGCCATTTTGTCTTTGTCACATGGTTCCCAGCATCACTTGTGTCCCTGCTCTGACTGAGCAGTGACAGTGACAGGAGGACAGCTGTCTGACTGTGTGTCTGCCACTACACTCTCTCTATTACTACCACCTCCTTCTGTAATTACAAGCTCCACTGCACACGGGCTCACAATCAGGTGGGGCCAGGCCCACAAGCACAACCACAAGCACCAGCTCTCGTCTGTGTGGCATTTGAATTCCTCCCATATGAGAAGTGCAGGCCAACAGGAGACACCAGCCCACAGGCCAATCAGGCAGCTGGGATTAGAAATGCTAAATTCCATTTTGTACCATTAGCTCACCCCTCATTGGTTCACCATCTGGGCCTTTTCCTCCCCTCTTAGAGCCGTGGCTTTTCATTCACACAACGTGGTGAGCCAAGACAAATACAAGTGAGGAAAACATGAAGTCAAAAGATTTGGATTAAAGACCAACATGCAGCGGCAAAGAAAGAAATGCATGATGGGAGGAAGGAACTACAGCAGCAGAAGTTACCTGCAGTAACCTGCAGTGTGCCATGACGCCACAGTTCAGTGGGCATCTGGTTTTAAGGTCACCTGGTTTTAAATAAATGTTGCATTAGCACATCTGTATTTTTTATTTGTTAATTTGAGATGTTCCATAAGGTTTAGAAACCGTGAACTAAATTATAAATTATAAACACAGTTTTCATTTTATGTCACACAGCCCGACGTCGGCTGACGCCTCATCATGTTTTCCAGGAGCTGACAGCAGCCACAGCCTCGTTCAATATCTGAATACATGAGCAGCTACATTTAGTGTCACTTTGATGATTTTCAATTCAAATCCAAAGCTTTAGTTGCCATTAGTGCATTCTTAAAATCCTGTCCTTTTATTTTTTTCAAAATGTTTTTTTTTTTTTTTTTGCAAACAAAGTTAATAGGACTGAGTTTGGAAGCTAAAGCCACTGATGGAGGTGACATTATGGCTGACCTACAGCAAGTATTTTACTGAGCAGCTTCTGACTGTGCCGTAAAAAAATCGTAATGATGCTGAAACGTCTGAAATTAAGTTAAGAATGGCATTTGGAAACAGTAAGTTTTTTGTTTTTTTTGGTCAGCTCCTCGTCTTAGTTCTACTGTACATTTTGACACGAGCAAAAAATGTGTCCTCAACGTTAACCCATCCATGAAACAGTAGCAGGGGTGACGCACACACACACACATCACAGGCTGGGAGTGGACCTTGTAATCCTTGGATCAAACCCAAGTGTGTACCTGCTCAGCATCCTCTGAGCTGAGACACTTCTATCTACAGTAACTGCTGCGTCAGTTTACTGCTGTTAACTATTTCCAATCTGCTGGTTAGTGAGCACAAAAACAAATCTGTGCAGAGGACAGTGTCATTGCCCAAGAACACAACAACAACAACAAAGCAGAAGAAGAAGAACAGAAGAAAAACAAGAAGAAGAAGAAGAACAGAACAAGAAGAAGCAGGAGAAGAACAAAAAGAAAAAAAAGCAGGAGAAGATCATGTAAAAAAGAAAAAAAAACCCTGAAGGGATAGTATATGAAACCTTGAGTTGAGAGGACGCCTCTCTTTCAAAGCCCTGGAATCTCAGTGGTGGAAATGTTGGAATTGGGGAGGGTCGACTTTGAGGTGACATTGAGGCTGTGTAGATGAGTGTGAGGATTTGGAGCTCCACGTTACGTCCACACTCGTTCCAGTTCAGACGGCGGCAGCTCCTGTGCCCGTCTTCCCTCCCCTCCTCTCTTTCAGCACCACTCCGTTAAGGACAGCACCTCGCACCCATCTTCAAGCCTCAGGATCACAGTCCGCTCCCGTCAACAGACGCATCGATTCAGAACTGAAAAGTCTGAGGAAATAACTTTAAAGAAAATACAAATTTAAAATATCGGAACTCAGCCAGGCAAAGAACAAGAATTTTTGTAAGTATCCTGTTAAAAAATTGTCACAGATTACAGATTAACAAGGATGATTAGTGAGTTTGACACATTTTGTCCAAATTAAAAATTCTGGCACGGCGCAAACAGAAGCGCTGTATTTGGCGCCCCACGTCAAAGGACGTGAGTCCAAATGAAACGGACAAAAATGTGTCAAAAATGTATTAAATGAAGGTTTTCAACATGAAAACAGGGGATAATCATTTCTTCTTAGTATTGCGCACGCACAGTCATTTGACCCGCGATCTTTGAGGGGATGTTACGCATGTTTTGCATTTCATGCAAAGTTCAAATGAACGCATTTAGATATTTGCATTTAATTACCTCGTTAAATTGCAAAACGGATTACGTCATTGTGATGTGTTCTTTCCCGTCGATTTATATAATTGGAAATTAAATGTTAAACAATGTGCACTAAAAACATGGAATACATGTATGTGCTGTAGATGTTGACAACCAGCGGCCTCTTTGGGTGATTCATTACATGATCATTGCGTGGGGCTGTTCTTCTCTGCCCTGACAGTGAAATTAACGCGGGATGTAAGTTTGGAGAATCACGAATCGAGTTGAAGATCAGCCACTAAAATCCCTTACATCCTACAGTTGGGGCAATTAGTGGCGATTCTTGTTGCACAAGGTCTCTATTCGATCCCGTGGGCACATTTGGTTTTCTTTCCATTCTTTGTGAAATAATGTCCATTCATTTCAATGCATTTTTTTCCATCTGTAATTTAATTGTTTATTTTTCCAGTTAGGAGGAAAAATAAAATAGATTGTGAAAATAAAATCGATTTCAAATCAATTTTCATTTAAAACATCATCATCATTTCAATCGACTGGAAAATCAGTATGAAAAATAATTATAATTCCAGATCTTTAAAATACTGATTTACTTTTAACTAAACCATTTTCTTTTCTTTTCCAGACTGTGTGGATCCAGGTGCCCCTGTCACTCATCTGCGCTCGGCAGCTGTGACGGAGCCGGTGAACACTCGCAGTCTGTCTGGACCCGTGATAAGTCTTTCCCGTCTCCACTGGTCAGGACGATCCGGCACGCACAGTGACCATGGCCACCAACGGGACCAAAGCCTCGGACGGACTGGTCTTAACGGAAATGGTGAATGACGCAGCGGCCACCACGCCAAACGACAAACCCAAAACATTGGTTGTAAAAGTGCAGAAGAAAAAGGAGATACCGGAGAGAGAAACGTGGGCTGGGAAATTTGACTTTCTACTCTCTTGTGTTGGATACGCAATCGGACTCGGGAATGTCTGGAGATTTCCTTACTTATGTGGGAAGAACGGAGGAGGTAATCGGAATTATTAACGGCATCAATGTCTGCCATCTAGGTCCTGGACACTTTATTTTTATTGTAAATAAATCCCAACTGTCCCTCAGCAGCATTCAGGACAAACCTCTGCGTAATTGACGTGCGTAATTGCGCACAAGCGAAAACGTGCGCAACAAAAATACAGGATTATGCTGATGTTGTTATTAAATAGTTTTCATTTTCTACAAACATATCCTTTTACTTCTCACTTTTGTCCAGGGGCCTTCTTGATTCCTTACTTTTTGACCCTAATATTTGCTGGTATGCCCCTGTTCTTGCTGGAGACGGCCCTCGGTCAGTACACTTCTATCGGAGGGCTCGGAGTCTGGAAACTCGCTCCCATGTTCAAAGGTAAAAAATGTTTCTTTGTTTTTTTATTTTGTTTGTTTTGTTTTTCTAAAACCGTGACTATTTAGCCCCTTGTTCGTAATTAGCTCTTCGTGCAGATAATCTAAAAAGCAATTAATACGTAATAATCTACTTTATTTTCTTTTAATACATGAATTAGTGGATTATTTACATGTATTTCATGTCCTGTTGTTCCAGGTGTGGGTCTGGCAGCTGCTGTTCTGTCCTTCTGGCTCAATATCTATTACATTGTTATCATTTCCTGGGCTCTTTATTATCTGTATAATTCCTTCACTGCTGTGAGTATAACCATCCTTCGGCGGGGAAGGGGGCTTCTGCATAGAAGTCACGCAAGTGGTCTTTTAAGTCAAAACAAAGCTGAGTTTTTATTGTTCGTTTGTTTCAAGTAGTAACCCTTTATTTATGTGACAGCTTCTCTTTGCCAACTCCACTTCCACTGCTCTTAAACACTGTATGACATTTATTACTCCCTTTCCCACATAATTAGAGTCCCACACAAGGTATTGACAAATGCATGTGACGATGAGGCATTCACTGCTCTCGGAAAAGCATGAAATCCCAATGTCCTAAATGAGTATCGTGCTTTTGGCTGCAGGACAAATGGAGAGAAAGGACTGTGCGGTGGGAGAGGGGTCCAAATAAAGGAGCTGTCTGTGTGATTTTCTTTTCTTTTTTCTCCATTTCCAGGAACTGCCATGGCAGACTTGTGGAAATCCCTGGAACACAGAGCGCTGCTTCACCAACTACAGCATCGCAGACACCAGGAACCTCACCAGCGCTGTGGTGGAGTTCTGGGAGTAAGCTGCACATTAAAGTCTTCTTACATCACTACCACACTCTTCCAGTGAAGGTCACCTCTGTGACTTAAAAATCTGAGGCCACCTCGGGGGTCAGAGCCCCCCATTCACACAATGCCACAATGGCATGCCACAATGTTGACATTCCATAAAAGACTAAAGTCTGAGTCCAGTTTAAGAAATGTCTCCAAGATTCTTCAACTGTAGAGCCTCAAAAAAAGCACACGGATGAGAAAAGAAAGTCGGTGTTGTGGTGAACACCCAGACAGATGGATGAATGGGGGGGTGGAGGAGGCTAAAGGATGCATTTTATACTGAAGTAAAACTGCTTTACTCTTCCCCTCAGGCGTAACATGCACCAACTGACTGATGGTCTGGAGAAGCCTGGGGAGGTCAGGGTCCCACTGGCTATCACCCTGGCTGTGGCCTGGGTGCTGGTCTACTTCTGTATCTGGAAGGGGGTCAGTTGGACTGGGAAGGTAAGTGGAGGAGGAGGACACAGACAAAAATTAAAGCAAAAATAACGTAAAATAATGTATTCAGACACAAATAAGTCATAGACATTAAATGTAAAGAGTCATTTATTTTTGATAAATGATTCATTATTAACCCTGTTTTGAAGGTTTTAAAAGATCATGAAAATAAAATCATCAATATTCCCTCATCTTCCCTTTAGTAATATGCACCACATTTTGCCCTTATTATTAAATACTTTATTTGTACTGACATGTTTTAATCAACTAAAACTAAAAAACTAAAAAAAACTAGTAAGTTAGACTGTCCAGATGGTACAGCCTCAAACTAAAGGATGATCGGACTGTGCGGTTGGAAATAAAGAAAGCAGAGCAGTGTGGCCTGTACTTGGACACTTTCGACCGATCGGGGGCCGTTGGTAAACCAACTCAGTTAAGACTCAAGCGAACACAGAAACAAGTGCAGGACCAAAGGTTCATGACATACCATCACATTTGGCTGCAAACCAGAGTTGATAGCAGCAAATCCAGTTGCGTCTGTTTATTATTCAAAGAAACATTTGTTTGGAACGATGTATTAAACTTTGAAAACCTGACATGTAACCAAGTGGTTTTTAGTGAAGGTTTGAAAATAATGAAAGAGTAAAGAAATGTTCAAACCTTGTCTGTGCGCTGATTTCACTTGATGCAGCTTGTGTATCTTCTTCCTGGCTGTAAAACATGCTTTACACTCAGCATCGCCACCTACGGGGATGGAGTGTGCCAGAAATGAGAAAACTGTATGTAATGTAACATATTAGATTAGCAGAGAAACACATTAAAGACTCCACTCTGATCTAAAGTAGTAGGAAATACTTTATTATACAGATATCAACTGAGAGTTAAAGTGTTTTCCAGAAATGTAACCACGTGAACTTCTTTGAATAAGTGATGACGAGAACCTTCACTCAAACCTGTTAAATACATTTCCTTCTTTACATTTCACTTGTATTATGTTTATCATTTGAGTGACTCTAGGACTCTGAGATGTCTGGTAGGATCATTCGTCACCATGGCAACTTCAATGGCCACAGTGTAAAATTAGTTCTTAGGAGAAGTCAAACAGTGCCTTGAGAGTGGGCTGAAGCCATTCCTGGGTCAGTGGGTGTGTGGGGAATGACTAGGTCAGTGTGCTGCAGCTCTTTGGGCAAGGGGGCGGGGGGGGGGTCGCAGTTGCTCTTTGTTGACTTTAACAACTTTGTAGTTTCAATTCTGCTCAGATATTTAGTTTTCATTCGTATCACGTCTGTTATGCCGCCCTGTGGGTTTTAAAGTAAACTTTGATGTTTTGTGTTTTTCACTTCTCCCCATACAGGTGGTCTACTTCTCTGCCACATACCCATACTTCATGCTCTTCATCCTGTTTTGTCGTGGCGTCTCTCTGCCAGGTGCAGTGGATGGGATCCTGTTCTACATCACACCTAATTTTGAAAAACTGAAGGAGTCTGAGGTGACTTTTTACCAGAGACACTCTTTTATGTCATAGGGGCTGAAAAACAGGGTCACAGTTCAGTTTTAGTTGGAAAATAAACACATTCAACTGCTACTACATAGTGCCACACCAAAACAACACACCTATCTGAGCAGACACACACCATAAAAACTGCCTATTTCCTGTCTCTTGGCCCAACATCCTCTTGATGCAGGAGCACATTAACACTGAGCACTGATGGCTCATGAAGATCATGGTATTTGTACGATCTTTTTACTTTGCACAAAAGGAAAGGGATTGGACTAATACACACTGTTTGTGAGCATTATCACAAGTGCCTGTTTACAGCCAATCAAACACGTGGTGACACATCATCAGATGTTCACGTTCACTCAGTCCACTCGAGTGTCTTGTCATCGTCAAGTTTTTCAAAGAATCAAAAAACATCAATTGTTGCTCAAAGCGTAGACATGTCAGTGTCGCTGAACTTCATGTCGTATTTGTTTCATGTTGAAAGGTTTTAATTGTTTATCTCTGGTTGCCAGGTTTGGCTGGATGCTGCAACTCAGATCTTCTTTTCCTATGGTCTAGGCCTGGGCTCCCTCATTGCTCTGGGAAGCTACAATCCCTTCAACAACAACATATACAGGTCTGACTTTTATTCATGTCATTTTGGTCCAAATTTACACGTCAGTAAACGCTCCTCCTCCTCTACTGCCTTCACTGTTCTGTAACACAGTACTGCCATTTTGCCAAGAAACAGTCGTGTTGACTGTATCCAGCTACAGCGCCGCAAAATGGCTCTCCTCCCCTCCCCCCACTGCCTCTCAATGTGTGACGGGTTGATAAGGAACTGATACAGGCGTGACAATGACTGCCTGGTGCTTTGTCTCTCTCCCCTACAGAGATTCTATCATCGTGTGCTGCATCAACTCCTTCACCAGCATGTTCGCTGGCTTTGTCATCTTCTCCATTGTGGGCTTCATGGCCAGTGTAACAAAGAGACCTATAGCTGATGTGGCAGCCTCAGGTAACTGCAGTGAGAAATTCAACGAAATGACAGTTTGAAATGGGCTTCAACAAATTCTCAAAATTGCTCTGGTTTTTTTTCCCTGTTTATTGCTTGGAATAACAGAATAGAATGTTGTTGGCTGAACTTTTTGGTTTCTATTCTATGTAATTAGCCATATTTGAAGTGTCTATTCAATTATCTTTCTTCATTTTATTGCTATCTTTACATTTTTAACAGTAAATATTTCCATCTTTTGTGTTTTACAGGACCTGGACTTGCATTTTTGGCCTACCCTGAGGCGGTCACCCAGCTGCCCATCTCTCCTCTCTGGGCCATCCTCTTTTTCTCCATGCTGCTCATGCTGGGCATTGACAGCCAGGTAAAAATATTAGGCTCCCTCTAGTGTCAGTGCCCACTGGATGGAACCTATAATTATAATGTAAATTTGGCTAATGGAAGATTCATAAAACTACAGCTGTCCCTATAGCAGGTGTGGGCAAACTTTTGACTCACGGGCCACAATTGTCCTAAAATTAAACAGGGGAGTCAGGAGCAGATGGAGCGTTCACATGAACTAAGATAAATGACATGTTAAAGTCATACATAAAAGCTAAAATGCTAAAATGCTTTTATCATTTTCTACACCATCTATTGGGGAAACGTGGGTATTGTGGGTAAAAGCCAGAAGTATAATGATAATATAAATAAATTATATAATTTGGAAAAGTTTGGCTGCCTATGGCCCCCGGGCCTTGGTTTGCCCATGCCTGCCCTATACCAACGAAAATGTGTATGAATATTTCCATTTGTGTATTCATTTATACTAAGAACTTTAGTTCTTTAGATCAGGTGTCAATAAATATGAAATGGAAGTAGAAGTCTTATATAAGACAGTGGTGGTGCAAACACAGGCAGCAGTAAATTGTTGCAGCCATTTTCTACTCATTAAGAGAAGCTTAATTCAGCCAAAATAAAAAATAAATCCATTTGTATTAAAACTGCCAAAACATCAGACACTGAGTCAATAAAACAGGATTAAGTAACTAAAATAACATTTAAAAAGTAGTTAACAAAGACAGAGAGAATAGAAAGTGAGCAGAGCTTTTACACCTGTATAACTAAACACTGTTCTGCTTTCCAACAAACTGAAGCACGATTTCCAATATTTCAACTGAACACACATGTTGTCCAAAAACTCTCCTGATGTTAAAACACCTCCAAACCTCTGACATTGTTGACCTGCTTAAATAAACTAGCCTAGGACAGCAATGAGACACTCAAATATTGTGCCGATATTGGGTCAAAACCTCATCTTTAAACACTACCTTTCACTCTGACAAAAATGCACAACTCTGTCAATCTCTTCAGTTCTGCACTGTAGAGGGTTTCATTACCGCTCTGGTCGACGAGTTCCCTCGGCTTCTCCGAAACCGCAGAGAGATATTCATCGCTGTGGTTTGCCTTGTTTCTTACATCATCGGACTATCCAACATCACACAGGTTTGTCAAACCAGTTCTTTTTTCATCAGTAAGCTGTCACTGATGACCACAGGATTTACACTTGTTTTCCTCTACCGTCCATTCACAGGGCGGACTCTATGTATTCAAGCTGTTCGACTACTACTCTGCCAGTGGAATGTCGCTGCTCTTCCTGGTCTTCTTTGAGTGCATTTCAATTTCATGGTTCTATGGTGAGCATCGCAGTGTAATCTTCTCACACAGTATTTCAAACAGAAAGTCAGGACAAATCTGTTGTTTCCAACCAGAAATGTACAGAGTTGTGGGGAGAATGAATGACTCACACACGTGTTTGTTTCCAGGAGTTAACAAGTTCTATGACAACATTGAGGAGATGGTTGGCTACAGGCCTTGTCTGTGGTGGAAGCTCTGCTGGGTCTTTTTCACTCCACTCATCGTGGCTGTAAGTGTTAAATTCTATTTTTTTATTAGTCAAGAATAGTTTTTTTTTCTGTTTTCACCAAAAGTCATGCTAAACATTATAAAATACTGCTGACCAATGTTGGTATCTCACAGTTACTTAAATTAAAATAAACTTTGGTAAATTTGATTTATCGTTTTAGAAAGAACCTGAAACTGTGTTGTTTCATTTATGGGATAATAATTTTTTGTACAGGGAGTCTTTTTATTCAGTGCTGTCCAGATGGTTCCTCTCACCATGGGAGACTACGTCTTCCCCAGCTGGGGTCAGGGTGTGGGTTGGTGCATGGCCCTGTCCTCCATGATTCTCATCCCAGGCTACATGGGCTACATGTTCCTCACACTCAAAGGCACATACAAAGAGGTAAATACTAAATACTACAAATTCATAACTGAAAAAATCAATAAGAAAAATATCTTCTTTTTTTAACTTAAAGTAAAACTTGAATCGTGTTGTTGGATAAATTCAACACCAAAGTTAAATTGTTGACATTTAACTTTGAATGTGAAATTCTTTCACAGCTGTTGGTCAGGGGAAAACCCATGGACCTACGGAATAATTTCTTTCAGTGTTTGGGCCTTGTTTTCCTCATTTTTGCTTTTTGGTTTTGGCAAGAATGTTCATTTCGGTGCATCACTATACATAACCATTAGTTACCACAGGGTATTGAACCACCTATTGTCTTACTTTAAGGCAAAAGCACGCACCACTCCATCACCACACGGCCATGCTTAGTTTTAACCAAATGAAATGAGTTTTGCTTAGAAAGACAGTAATGCATGTTGAGTCAATGGTAATGAGCAAACACAGGGCTTCTGGGTAAAGATAAATTAACATGCAGAGTGGATCAGTGATAAAAGGATTAGCAGAAGAGTTTCTAATTTGTTCCTTCGAACCATCACAAATGGATTTTAGCTATGAACCCACAGAGGTGTCAGTAAATGACATTAATTTCTGTTCAACAGAATAGAACGCCGCTTTATTTATTGATTGGATGACGGCGATCAATGGATGATAATGCATTTGCATCTAGAGCCTTTTGATTGGCAGGCACCAGGCGGTACCATCACATCTATACCACCCTCAGTAACATATAGTTTTGCAGCCCCCACTGACGGAATAAATGGGCTATAATTGCAGGCGGTAGAAGGGCTCTGTCAGAGGGGATGTGCAGGTGTCAGATCCTGCAGCACCATCTGATCGCTGATTGTGTAATTGTAGCAATCAGCCGACTGATTAGTGCTATGCATCGAGGCGGACACTTGGTTTGAAAAACACTCCATACGAACGGCTGTTCTGTTGTGTGGAGCCCAGCTCGGAGACAAACCACAGACAAGGACCCAGACGAGAGATGTATCCAGGTTTAACAGCACGCCTCAGTCATAAATAATCCCACTTTTTATGTATTTTTGCAAATGCTGCATTTATAAATATAGATTCCCTTTAAATGAAGGAGCACTTCAGAGATGACGGGTTGATGGAGCTCTCAGCTGTGGAGACACTGCATTCGGTCCCAGCTCGTGCATCTGATCACAAACTCGGCAGCTGTCTGTTTCCGTGGCTGAAATATATCTGATTGTATTCCATTCTTCAGCCTGTGTGACATCACTGACAGTAATGCCTTCTTCTGATTGTAACCCCCCCCCACTCCCCTCTTACCCCCCCAGCGCCTGCGGATGATGATCAAGCCTTTGGTTCTGGTAAAGTCGCAGGAAAACGGCCCGGAGCAACAAACGGAGAGCCAGAATCAGAATCCCGCGAACGAAGAAGCGTACATCTAGAAACATCTGCCTCTGCTTGTTCTGACAACCGGCGGTGGCGGTGTACAACAGAAAAATGTAATCGAGTTTGGGGCTGACCGCCAGACTTCAGTGTCTGCTTTTCTTCACCTACCTCCTGGGGACACGTGAGACCAACCTGATTACAGATACTTTTCCCTCAGTGGTTTTACTGCTTGTGTATAATTGGAGTTGAAACTTTTAAAGGAGAAATGAAAATCATTCAAGTAAATTTTATGCAAAAGAAGGAAAAAAAGAAAAAAGAAAAGGAGAGATGACTAAGAAACTACTCAGTCTTGAATATATCATTTAAATTTGGAGGCCCACTTTGATTAAATAGTAGGTATTGTGCTACTTTGAGAATAGTAATAACTATACTAAGCTACAACTTGTACAAAGAAAAATATTGATATAATTGCATTTTTGTTTGTACATGAATAAATACGGTAAAACGAATGCAGCGTCGAAGGCGAAGGAAACACAATTTAGAAGATTTGCAGAATGAAAATAGTGAATAGTGAATATTTTAAGTCAAAGAGAAATATTTTGGAATGTGCAACAGGTGTATGAGCAAATGTGTTTGTATGTAAAAACTATAATTTAGCCTGAAATGTTTACCACCCATGTCTGGGGCTGGAAAAGCACAAGTGTGGAATCTAAAATGTCCAGTCTATTCTTTTTTCTTTTTCTGTTTTTTCTTCTTCTAGACTGAAACCTGTGGACGTAGCAAAAATAATCTATTTAGGATTACTTAGCAAGAGACTGTTATAATTGTTCTAAAGACCAATAACTATGTGTATGTGTTGTCCCAGTCTTTTTGTAGAGTCATTTTCTATGAGTGACAGTGAGAGCACCAACTCCATGCTCACTGTTGAAGGTTCTGTGCAGACATCTGACCCACTTACTATGTCCAATGGACTCAATTGAGCCTTCTTTGATATTTTTTGCCTGTTTTTACCTTTTTTTGTTGAGGTAGTAAATACAGCATCCACCCACAAAGCACAATTTGGATGTGTAAACTGCCACCTGTAATGGTAAAGCTGGAGCCATTGAAGAAATCTCAAGTTTGTACTGGGCAAACATTTCCAGGGGGCGGTGATTTTTTGCATAAAATATTGGTTTTTCTTCCTTATGTGTGGTTGCAATGAACACCTTCTGTGGATTTCTGTGGTAGCTGTTGCTTTTCTGACAGGAATTGTTTACATGTGTATCTGTTTAGTAACCCGCTCCTCAGGAAAACAAAGGTGGACGTGACCAAATTCTTGCAAAAATATTAACTACACTGAAAAATGCTAATTTTTTTTTTGTCATTATCTCCATTTCATCCTGGAGGATACATTAGAGAGTGCAGATTTTCCAATTTCAGACTCAAAGAGACAAACAAAAGTTGTCAGTGCATCAGGACAAAAGTCTGATGCTGTAGTGTAAAGGCTAACACGACTGAAACTACTCTAACAGCGTAGGGGAAAAAGGAAACTAAAAAAACAATTAGTGTAAACAGACGTCTGACAGATTTCACTGCAGTATTTCCAGGAGAAAACACACTTCTGTGGCAGCTACATGCAACAGGAATTCCATTTATTTTCTTTAATTTATTTTTTTTTCTTTCAGAGATATGTGAATTAAAAATGTGCTGTGACAAGGGGTTCTGTGAACTTGTATAATAAATATAAATCATTTACATGTATCTGTGAATGTCTGTGAACCTATGCTCCTTCGTCTTAACGTAAAAAAACACAAGAATATTATTTGCTGTTTTCTGCAATAATATTATCATGATCTCAGAAATTAAAGCACACATCGCAACTGTAAAAACCATAATGACATTAACTGAATAGAGTATAATAAAAATGCTAAGGATATTGTAATAGAGATGTCTAGTCAGAGAATATTGTTTTGTATATTTTTAGCTGTTTCATGGGCCAAATGTAAAATATTCTATGTAAAAAATATAATAAATGTCTTTAGATGGTGTTATATGAAAAAGCATGATTGAAATATATGTTATCTTCAAACATCAATAAAGATTATAGATTATAATGTCTTTGTCATGTTGTCATTTCCTTTGGTAATATCCTTCACATGGATGAAAGAGTTAAATTCATACATAAAATAGAAACAAGAACTACATACTTATACTTGTGATATTAGTAGTACAGTACTTTAGATGGTACAGTAAATAACAATTACTATCAACTATTTAATATGTAAAGACTACAGCTACACACTGATCTGAACCGTCAGCACCGGTTAGACGTGTTGATAGCGGAAGTGTTAGCAGCTCAGCGATAATCTGTTAATTCAACAGCCAACCAGCCTGTCCATGGCTCCCTGTAGAATATCCTCAAATCACATCACAGTCATGTGACTATAAATCAAAAATGTGATGTATAGTGTTGCATTTGATGTGTAGTGTTTTAAACAAAACAATCTAATTATGCAGATGATTTCTAATTAATAAATATCTATTAATAAACATTTAATCTATCGACTAAAGCACAACATCGTACTTAAACATTAAATAACTCATTTATTGTAGAGTAGTACAATTACAGCGGTGATATTTTAACAGTGTAAAACTCCTTTGGCTCTGTCATTATTTTCAATTTTTACTCACTGCACCATTCAGCTAACGTTGCTTGCAACATTCAAAGCTCCAAAAACTCTTTGTTGCACAACTGACACAAAACATTTCCAAAATGCAAAATATTTTTTTTCTTATTTTTTAACTTTCCACCTCGCCCAAAAATTAACTTTCTTCTCCAATAATTTTATACACTGATGTTTCTAAAGTTATTCTATGCGTTTTCTTGAACAGATTTGAGGCATTACTGCCATCTACTGGGCTGGCCTGTGTAGAGCAGTGTTGAAGGAGTCAGTTTTTAATACAATATTTTGTCTGTAAATAATTGATCAAATTAAATGAATCTTATTACCAAGGTAAGAGATTATATAATTTAACTTAGATGTGGAATCAATGTCAGAGGATAAGTCTGCTGAACTAGATCATATATATATACTATACTGTGTATATATATATATATATATATATATATATATAGTCCCTATATATATATAGGGACTCTCCTATAAAGGGGCTCTTTCCATCTGCAGGTTCACTCTCAGGTCCTAACACTGTTCACCTTTACAACAGGACACTGATAACATATCTGCTACCAGCAGAGTGAGAGACAGAGACAGACAGTAAGAGAAACAAATGCCCTTATCACCGGCTGCCACATGAGGGGATTAGTTGGAGTGTTGTCTAACAAAGCATTAATGAACACTTTTAATTGCATGCACACAAACCCTGGCTGAACTGCGCACACACACACGCGCGCGCGCATACACAACAGTAGTCACTACTGCGATGTTGGTCATGACCACATGTCAACAACACACTGTAACACAACACATTAACCTCCATTCACTCTTTTACATAATAATACATAATAATTCAAATCAAAAGATGTCACAGGTCAACAGGTCAACAGCAGTGTGACCCTAACCCTCTGCTAACAGCAGACCCCAGTTCAAAATTGAATAGAATTTGTTTGTTAGCGCTACAGGTATGTGAGGCTCCCATTGGTTGCTAGAGTCCATCACAGGGTTACACAAACAACCAATCAACACCAATGTCCCACCCTCTCCTCTCCTCTCCTCTCCTCTCCTCTCCTCTCCATCCCTAACTACTTACCCGTCCTCCCCTCTCTGAGCCTCGACCAATGAACCATGTGACTCCCACGTCTTCCAGACTCTGGGGCCTTTTGCTATGGCACATTTATCACCAAATGTAGCACAGATGTGTGGATGTGGGGGGTACTGGGTTGGGGGGTACTGGGGTGGGGGTATTGGGGTGGGGTACATGTCACAAGATGTTTTCCTTTCCTTTCACAATGGGAACAGAAAAAATAAGGATAAGTTTAATATTACAACAAACATTTTTTCTTTTCCCTCTTCAATGATCCCTACCTTAATATCATGTTCCTGACACACTCCTGACGAGTGACTTCATCACAGTTAATGCAGCGTGCGTCTTCTACTGAGGATCAAGTAGAGGTGGACGGTTCAATGACCAAACACCAAATTTGTGATATAATATTCATTTGAATCATGAAAATCTTGGTCTTATAGACATAGACTTCAACAAGCCAAACTGCCAAATGCTTCAATCCAAAATACTTCTTTAAATAATTAAAGTAAATCAAATCTAAAATCAATTAGAATATATAAAATATTTATAAAATTTATAAAAATGTGTGTAATGATGGTCCTTTATTGTGCACAGCATAGAATCTAATCCAACCAAGGATGCATCATTTGTCAACAGCCCCGAGTCTCTTCTCCTAATGCTGTTTATGCAGAGGAGATGTCATGCCTGCCTGCCCTTGGCTTTCACACACGCACGTACACACAGTTCGTGACAGTTTAAATTTAAGCCCGTCACACATTATTATCAAGTCACTGAGCCATGACCAGTCTGTGTGCAGTAAAATAGAAAAATCTGAGTTCCGTTACCAATCCACACTTTGTCCTGACTATCAATTACTTATCACAGCTTTTTTTAAACATCTATTAACATTGAAATTCAGACTGGAGCTGATTTTTGCAGGAAGTTGAAGCCGTCAATTTCAAAAGTTACTATGCAAATAGAGCATGAGTGCAGTACCTCAGTCATCCACAGTATGTCCTCTGAATCACTCACTCGTCCATTTTACAGCCACTGGATGGTGACGTTAAAATGTGTGTGTGTCCCACTGTTACTTTGACTTTCTATACAGATGTTCTGTATTTTAGCCAAACTAAAATCTATTTTGGACAATCGCTCTCACCCTCTGTTTGACTCTGTGGAAGCGCTGAGCAGCTCTTTCAGCAACAGGCTGCTGCAACCTCGGAAGTCTTTCCTCCCATCAGCCATCAGACTGTTTAATGCACAACAATTGTACTGTCCTTCAACATATTACAGTCCCTCAACCAATATTGTTTACATACCAAGCCTTTACATAACTTTTATTTTGTTCCACGTACACCACAACTAACTTAGTCACTTTATTTTCCCTGCAGGTCACTTTAAATTTTGATATTTGTCAGCCTGTAAATACTGTCTACCTTGCTGTTACTCTTTTATCACCTTGTAAATACCATGTCTACCATGCTGTTACTTTACTTTTTAGTACTACATGTCTATCCTGCTGCTGTAACAAGTGAATAAGGTCTTATCTTATCTTGTATGTTCACCATATCACTACACTGATGAACAGAAGTACTTCTGTAATACTCAAACAGAAGGGTTAGAGAAATAGCTTTGCTGTTTTCATTAATGATGTTTTAATTTTATTTTGGTCTCAGAAAGTCGACGTTTTTACCATGACTGCGTACTTGACATTTAAAGAAAATACTCTGACAATTATTCTACTTTTGTCCATTTTTTTTTCTACAAAATCTCAGTCCATTGAATATTCTGCCTCTAAAACTGTAGTCAATAATTTGAATAAGTTCTTGGAAGGATAATGTCTTATTATGTTAACTCCTCACTGGCAAATGTCAACATTCTGTTAATGAGTGTCATTCATTAAAGGCAGAAAACCCAGCCTTTCTGAGTGCATGGTTCAAACCACAGATGAAAACGTTTATATTAAAATCAAATATATTGGCAGCCAAAAACAGTGTGACAATTAGCACAAATGACAGAAGTGTGGATATGTGGACCTGAAGTGGGTTCTGGTCTACAGTCCAGATCTGTTTCTCACTTAAAGGTCAGTTTTAAAATTATCATGAGAATATAAAAAAGACAAAAAACCCAAACATGTTTGACTTCATGATATAACATTAATCCCATTAATAATCATCAGTTGAAACTATTTCACAGTTCCAACATGTTAACAATACCTGTATATTTTAGCATTGTAAAGTGTTCATTTTACTTCTTATCTCCCTTTACTACTTCTGTCAGTAGTAGTAGTAGTAGTAGTCCTCAGTACTGCTGTAAGTCACACACAAACACAAACATACACTGCAAGAAAAGCAACGTTTCAAAGAAAGATGGCAGAGACAGATTACAGATTAAGCGTGCCACGTCCAGCGCTCGAACTCTCCTCCCTGTCTCCTTTCTCATGGTAAATGATTTCCTTTTCTCTCCTTGGACAAAATAGTGGGAAACAGTGAGTCTGACTGGAGTGGAGGAACAGGGCTGGACTGTTAATGCTGCTCCATGAATTCAGAGTGGCTTCTGCTGATTTACCATTTGAATGAGTGAGAGGCTTGGGAAGGTGGTGAGGTCTGGACACAAAGACCTGCTTCACAGCCAGAATGCACTTTGGTTCTGTCTGAATCTGTCTAAATATTTGCTTCCAGCAACACAGGATGTTGTGCATAGTTGGGAAAGCATTATACTGTACAAAGAGAGAAACATTTTAATTTGTGGCACTGGGGATGTTATTACAAGGTACTACATTATTTTCTCTCTCCTTTTAACAGAAAAGTTTTAAAGTGTTTCTGCTTAAAAGTGCCCTAAAAAGGGATGAATATCTTCGTGAAAAATATTTTTTAAATAAAAAAGACTAAATAAAAGAATATACAAATGTTAATTCTTAAGTAAAACAATTGAATGACTCAAAGTCATTAATAAATTAAATAACTAAAGAATTGATTTAGTTATTTTATGTGCAGCACAGTGTGCTCTCTGTTTTAA